TATCCCTTGTAGCTCTGCTAACCAAGGGGGGCATTCATTGTCGCTTTGCTAAACAATGAACTTTTCATGCATAAGGCTGCTCACTGTTCTGCTCCTTGGCAGGATGGCGACCGCCAAGAAACTTCAGAAGGTTTGGGAAGGAGGGTAGAATAGAAAAACGAACCACAGGGAATAGCTGTTGGCATATGGAAGGGACTGTAATGATTGAGAAGAAACAAAATGTATGCTTTGTTAAAAGCAAAACTGAGGATCATGATCTGTAAACATTCACTGACAATATTCAGTACACAATAATACGTTTTTACAAAATGAAAAAAAAAGATAATAGATCTCTATTAATTTAAAAAATGTCTGCAGTGATATATTTTGTCCTGGCTTGCTTCCAATGCTCATATTAGTTTATGTCTCTGGGAACACTTTACCCACTGCTAACTCTAGGATTATTTATTTCTCCAAAAGCTAATTACACAATATATTCCTTAGTGATTTTGAACCAGAGTCACCAAGGACACAGTATTTATGAAATTAGTTACAGGTTGGGTACCTTAAGAAAGAAAGGAAGCAAGAAAACTGTGACAATGTGTAAATATCTTTCTCTATCCAGAGGCATCCTCTCATAAAGTTCTCTAGAAATCAGGAAAATGTGCTGCATTCCAACGTAGCTTTCTTGCTTAAAGAGAGTATAAGAAAACATTTCTTATGTAGAGAGTGAGATAGAAGTCGTGATGAAAACATCTCTCAAATGGTTTCTGGATAGAAAAGTCAGGCCATCTCTGCCTGGAAGTGTTCATGTGGGTTCATAACTATAAGTGAATGGTGATACACAGACTTATCTCTACTCAGAGATTCCTGATAAGCTTTTCTCACCCTGAAGAGCTTTAGGGTTAAGTGGCTATCTGAAGTTATGATGCTCAAAAGAGTAAGTATGTCATTCTTGGTTAATTATCCTAAAATGTTTTCATAGTTCTGTAGTGATCCTTACCCTGGAAAATGTTTTTTTTTTTATCCAATAAGATATTCAAACAGGTAATTTTGGTATTTTCTGAAATTATCTACTTGACTACACAAGGCAGGTATAAATGAATGTATTGAAATCAACCTACAGCTTGCCTTATGCATTAATAAAGACAGTGCTATTTAAATGTAGTATACATTGGAGGACATTCAGAAGTAACTTCTGTCAGAATCTCATTCATACCTGAAAACAAACAAACACACATGCTTAATGTAATGATTATTTTCCCATTCCCCAATCAGTTTGTACTCTATTATTGAGTGCCAACCAGTATGTTTCAACACATAGAGATCCTCTGGGACAGAGTAGAATTAACTGATAGTTTTTCTAGATTGCCAGGTCTTTGTCTCTAGGAGCTGCTGGGTGAGCTCCAAAGGCCAGCCTTTTGGTTGACTGCCCAATATTTAACCATTGTACAACCAGTGCTTCTTTGTTTGTAAATGTTACAATGAAAGTTCTGCAAAAATCATCAAACTTCTAGGTAAGACAATATTCTTAACTAATGTAGGGTATCAATGACTTGGAGAGAAAAGTGATATATTTCTGCAACAAAGAATACTGTTCTGCCAATAGTAGAGCATTGAGGATCAGTATATATGGAGCTCTGGTAGCGTAGTGGTTACGAATCGGGCTGTGAACCTTAAGGTCAGCGGTTCGAAACTACCAGCTGCTCCGCGGGAGAAAGATGAGGCTTTCTACTCCCGTAAAGATTTACACCCCTTGGAAACCCTGTACTGGGTCTCTATGGGTTGGAACCGACTCGATGGCACTTAACAACTTAACAACATATGTGGGTTGAGAATAGATGACTACAGGTAACTTTATTACATACAAGGAGCCTTGGTGGCTCAGTGGATTAAATGCAGGATTGCTAACAAGATTACCTGTTTACAGCCACCAATAAGTCTACAGGAGAAAGTTGAGGATGTCTCTTCTTGTAAAGATTTAGTCTGCGAAATCCTAAGGAGCCATGCTATTCTGTCCAAGGAGGAACAATGAAGAATTCACTTAACGATGCTGGTTTCCATTTGTAAAAAAGATAACAGCCTAAGGGAACCCTGTGGGGCTAGTTACTCTATCACACGGTGTCACTGAGTTGAAATTGACTACATGACAATAACAACAAGGATAAAATATGTTTAATGTTTATGCAAAAATGTATGATCTCTGTGCTTATCCCCATTATGATCTTTAAATGCCACTTCTTAGGGAATAAATTCGTTTCCTTTCTTCAATTTGGTGTTTTGAACATTCAGGGCTAAACACTGAAGCCTGGGAACATAGTCGGCCTGATTCCTACCCTCAGTTTAGTAGGAAAGGATTAACTGAAAACATTCCTAAGGTCTCCAAGAGATGTTTTTCAATTAAGTAGTATAGGAAAAGTACAGCTCTCAACATACTAATTGCAGAGAGAGAATATTTGAGTAACTTCCAGAATACATGACTAGTTATACTTTAGGGATTTTCCAATTAGGAAACAGCATCATGCAAACATAGAATCCTTGACTTTGATTTTAGATAGCTATCTGAAAAATGTAGGAAAGGTGTAAGTAACGTCATAAAGCACAAACTCCAAATCAAATATTACATTCAGAGGAAGGCGTTTGCTTTGGCCATGAGTAGAAGCTTTCATCATAAACAGAATAGGTGATCATTTCATACTGCAATTCCTGAGAGATTACCAATTACTCCTTGAACTAAGTAAAATTACTACCATAACTCCCATGTTGAGTCAAGGATATAGAAAGCTTTTATTGAAGAAAGCATTTTAAAAGAAATTACCACTGAGCAGCTGTTGGATTTGAATTGCCAACCTTACAGTTAACAGTCCATCATTTATCCCACGGTGCCACAAGCACTCCTTAAATGTTTGTGTTATTGTTGTTGTGGTGATGGTTAAGTGAGGCAGAGTAACTGGTGAGTTTGAACCATCTATATTGCAGTTTAAAATGACCTTGCATTCCAGTGTGTAAAGCTACATTGCCACATCAGGACTCCTAAATATATGCAACTCAAGCTAATAAAAGGAGTATATTGCATTTCGTTCCAAGGCTGTTACAGATAATGCTTTCAAAACCACTGTAAATAAAATGTTGATGTACAGCCATATTAGAATGTGTGAAACATTAATGAGTGGTCATATTTTAGAGAAAAATCTTTGTAAATTAGAAGCAAAAACAATAGAATAGAAATGGTAAATCATTGGACAATGGGTTTGCTCTTTCAAATCTTATTTGACCATAATTTATAGTGATTGAACAAATTGGAGGTTGGAGTACACCCTGAAGAAGAAAGGCCAGGTGATATACTTCACAAAAATCAGTCATTGAGAACCTTGTGTATCACAGTTTTATTCTGACACACATGGGGTTGTAATAAGTAAGAGTGGATTCAATGGTAACTTTTTTTAAAATCTTGATAGTACTAAGCCTTTGCTGTTTCAGTCTTAGTATTCTTGCCTTCCATGTGGAAGACTTGGGTTTCATTCCTGGCCAAAGCAATTTATAAATAGACATAACCCATCTGTCATTGAAAGGTTGCCTTTTGCTATGACGTTAACAGGTTTCAAGGGAATTACAGATTAAGACAAGGAAGAAAGGCCAGATGATCCAGTTTCCAACATCAGACAATTAGAATCCATGGGGAAAGTCCAAGACCAGGTGGTTTTCATATATGCTGTATATTAGATCATTATGAGCTGAGTGTTGACAAGAAGGTAGGTAATACAACAACATCCTTAACAGTAAGGTACTGACAAGATTTCAACTTGATCTAACCATAAAATATGATAGTTGTATTCTCTTGGTATGGATAGCCTTATGTGACACTATAGGATAAGCACTGGACTGCAAGGCTGGTTTGAACCACAAGGCCAGTGTTTCAAAATCATTAGTTGTTCCTCAGAAATTCTATACAG